AGGTGCTGGTGAATGCTGCGCACCACGGTTTTAAACTACTTGCGGGGGCAGGGTCGCCTCCAGATTGCTTTGTAAAAGCTCCCATTGAATTGGTAAGACAGGGTCTTGCGTGCGCTGGAAGCCGCGCTGCTTTTGGCTGGAATTGCTCTTGTGGCTGCACAGGCATCATTCCACAAACCGAATGCAAGCTGTGCTAGCCATACTGGCTTGTGTAGGGAATCTAGGAATGGATCCGTATAGTACCCTGTATGACCCCTTCATCATGTTCCAATTTCCATCCGCTTTTTCTATTCCTCCATTCCTGAATCACAACCAGCAAGCTATCCCTAACCCCCATAAGCCCCTTTGAACCCAGTTTCCGCCTCATTCCATGTGCTTCCCCAGGTGTTATTCCATCCCTTAAACCCTTTACCAGTTTCCGTGTTCTTTTCCATTCTCTGAACCCCGAACGCTACAGTAACCTCCACCAGCCCTCAGCCTGTATTGCTAGGGCTGGCACTCGCTTCAAGGCAGACTCCTCTGCAAATTCCTGGAGCAGCCTAAGCCTGTGCTGGCTGTCTTAAACTCATGGTCTTCAAACTTGGGTGGCTTCCTGCCGCAAGGTACAAAGGAAGAACCACAACTCTCTGAAACCAAGAGTGGTCTGTTGCTGCTACACGCTCTACTACTTTAGAAGGTCCAAGCTGCCAACTCACGCCACTGCTGCCTGAATACACCATGGCAATGGCTACTCTCTGATGGACTAGGATCAGGTACCAACCACACCTCCCTCAAGTCAGTCCTAGGATTAACCTCCCATTGTAGTCCGCTCGTGATGATGACATCCGATTGCCGATGCATGTCCTGCAGCTGCTTCAGCTGGTTGACATCAAGAGCCTGGGCGGGATGAGGGCTTGAGAATGTCAGGGCCGGTTCAATCTGGCACAATTTCCATGTCCGCACAGGTCTTTGGGAGTCCAAGTCTTAGTCATGGATAGCAAAGTACGGACAACTTCGTCTGGACGTTCCCGAAGGTGGGCCGCTCGGAATATGCAACTGCTTGTCTGTCTAATCAAAACCCCATGTAAAGGAATCGAAGTCGGGGGATCGTGGCTGCATTTGTGCAAATTTACAAAAGGGCGTCGGAAAGATGCTCATGTGAGGCGTGTGTTTTGGCACTGCGCCTTCAAACTCATGCAGTAAGAACTACAGTAGCCTGCATAGCCGAAAGTTGAAGCCCTCCACCGTGCTTGAAACACGTTCGTCGCCCAGATATGGAGCACCTCTGCCAGACCCAACCCACAGCCTGCAAAAAGCGTTTCGGGCTGGGCCGCAAACGCCCAGGCTCTCATCCTTGGCCCCAAACCTGCGCCAATAGCAGCTAATAAGCTGAAGGACCTCAAGCATGAGTAGCACGACCAGAATCAGGCAACACGGCTTTCCGTTTTGGCAAGCTGTGCTTGGGTAAGCATGGTCTGTGGTGCTCGGAAAGCCGAAGACAAGCAAACCGAAACTTGCCATGACGTAACATGAGCTTGAGCTGTCAGGGGCAACCGGCCCCATGTTGATAGCAAAACAGAGAGCGACTCAAGGGATGGCGTTACGGTGAACCGAGCCCGTGGTCAAGGCTATTAGATCTTCCGACAGGTGTTTCTTGACAGCAATGTCTAAAGCATCGAGGCAGAGCATCATAGTCCAAGAACGACAAGCTACAGTAATGAGGCCACTCACACACACGCCAGAATGTCAACAACCTCCGGATAGCTGAAAGTTGCTCTGGCACACCATCACTCACAGAGTCAGGGAAGTCACCTGGCCTTAAATCCTTTTGGGGTCTCATGCTAACATGTCTGAGCTGCAGGGCCATTTGTGCTGTAGGCACTGCAGCATAGTCGGCCTGGCAGCAGCTACGGTGACTATAGGGTTGATTCGGGGGCCCTGTAAAGGGAAATTTCTATGTCTTTATAAGAACTATATAGGGATTTTTGCTTATACAACTAAAAAAATGTTCACAGCAACCCCTGGTAAGGCCACCATAATAGCAACAGTGGAAAGCCACTCGGTGGTCTTGCGGCAAGAGTCGCATCGTTTGGTGTGGAAGTGCGGCCTATGTCACAAGAACAAAGGAGCCCTGCATCTTCGTGTTTGATTGGCCAAGACAACACTTTCCTAATCAGTACGTAGACATGCAAACAGCTTAAAAGCAGAACCGAGCAAACTCGAAAACGGAGAATCTAGCAGGAGAACAAGTCGGCCATGTGAGGTAAAAGACAAAAACGAAACAAGACCTGCAAAATGCTTAGGAGCAATCCCAGGGCTTGGAATCTCAGCAAGACCATCTTTTGCACCAGCGGCCTGTCTCGGTCCGAATACGTCAGCATCTCCTGACCTCTGGCGGTGGAAATTCAGCGTTTTCACACTACATCTTGGAATAGTGGCTATGGTGGAATGACCTCTTCTTGAATTGCGATATGCATTACAATGCAAATCGAAAGCAAGTCCTGTTCAATTGTTGCTTGAGGTCTGGCTATGTCTTCTCACGGTTTACTACCCACTCTTCTCTGCAAACGACCGTAGCCTTGCATCTGTCTGGACAGAAGGGTTTGCGTCGGAATCTGAAGATATACTTCCCTCCCACCATGAAAGCACTGAGGCAAAGGCAAAGCTTGCGGCTAAGACTTGATGTCTTTACCTGCCGGAGGTTCCAGATTTTGGGCCTGCGGCTGTAAGGAATTGGATAGGCCAACCCCGTCCACCTGTCAAAACCATCTGCGCACCAACTGGTTTGGTGTTATGCCTGTAACTTTACGGACAAATGTCAACACATGGCAGGGAGGCTTTCCGCCAATCCGGGCCATATCTGTGCAAAGCTTGCCAATCCTTTGGGTTCATGCTCCTGCACAGCAGCATTGCAAAATCAATGGCTGCTAGTACGGCAAATTTCGACAAAGCCGCCGTGGGTGCAGCACCCTCACAATAACCAGTAATCGTTACTCCTAAGTAACATCCTCCCAGCGTTCACGTTTAGACATAGTCCTGCCTCCTTAACAGTTCTTCCCGGATTTTAGACCTCAAAATTTCTGCAGTGACAAAGCCAAAGCACCTGAACTGAGCTGTAATATTACTAAACCCTAATTGTTGGGCAGCCTCCCACGTAACATCTCCGGATTCTAACCGTAAGACCCGGCGGTACTTTCAACGCAGCCCAACAAACAACAGTTTGTTGAACACAAACTCTCGCAAGTCTGCAAGCTCCAAGAAGCAAGCTTTTGTGATCATCTACATACTAGCATCCCCAATGAGCCGCCTGAAGGAGAATATTCATGTACTCTTCACCTTTCAGTAGGTTAAATACGTCGGGTGTTGGGGAGGCTCATGGATCCTGGCAGTGTGGGTTCAAGTGTTGCCAGGAGACAGGTAGTCTTGCTGCAACTATTCTCCAGAATCATTATAGCAAATCCTGCTGCTATTCTGCTATTCCTTGTCCCACTGGACTTGCAGAAGGTCCTCACGGCGAAGGGCAGGCTTCCCGCAAGCATCTCATAAAGGATACAACCTCCAGGTCATGATCAACGGGACCAGCGTGAACGCTTCACGGGACACAGGGGTGCTGGGTGCACAGAGGTAGTTCTCCATTATGCCTCGCCCATTCAGCAGAAGGGCAAAACTCACTATCATCGTGATGGTTGCTCATACTCTGACGAGCACCTGTACCTTCCTCTGTACTGAGATGTACTGAGTTGGACGTAGAAGCAGTTGCCATGAGCGGTTTGTGTTGAACTTCAAACCCTGTGGATAGGCTTTATGAATCTTTACGTGCCTGCTGCGCCTACCTGGGCCTACCTGCTGCGCCTACAACGCAGCTCTCATTGGTGTTCCAAGTCCTGGGGCAGTGGCCAGCAGACCAGACATCGCACTTGGGGCCGAAGTTGTTCTCCCAAACCTGACAATCTGACGGGCGAATACAGAGAGAGCAACTCTAATGCCTGTGCTGCCAGGCCACCTCTCCTGTTGTGAGGGCTCAATCTCGCTTGCTAGTTTGGGGGAGTAGGCTGGAGGGTCGTCCAGGTACTTGTTCACGCCATTTCAGACCCAGCTTACTTTGTCGAGTTGCATTAAGGACCAGCGCAGCTCAGGAGAACCGAACCACTGCGCCTAGCAGTTGCCCAAAACAAGCCATATCTGATTTTGAACTTATCTGCCCAAACGTTGATTTCCTTTATTTGACGTCCATGAGTTTGCGCGGCCAAACTGTTTGGGTGCAAACTCCGAACCCAGAATGGCCTCGAGCTCTACGTGAATCATCAAGAAGTGTACAAGCACCCTAAGCTAGGCTCCCGTATCATGGGTCTTCCCAGGGCCTCAGGTGCCATAGTCATCGGTGTGCCGCCCATCAGCCTTACATGCGTGGTGCTGCCATGTGTGTGCCTTTTATGGAAAACTTTCTCAGAGGGGGTTCGGGAATTCCTGTGTCTTCCGAGCCATGTGGGGGTGACTTGTGCTGCTTTGGGGCGTAGGAAACGAAACGTGTCAACCACAGATTCACCCCGGCTCACACACTCCAGAAATCACACCCTGAAGTAACGAGGAAGATTCAACTGCTACCAGCATGCAAGGATTCATCTATCACCAGCACATCAACTCAAGTCGTTTGTCAAAGATGTATGCTTAAGCCATGCCCTCTGTGCAGGCCATTCGGTCACAGGCTAGGAATGCGCCTGCCTTGCAACCAGACCGTATGTCAGCCCATGATGTCCGTTTTACGTTGTGCCGTGATGTCCCCAGCAGCACGTTTCACAGGGCCTGTCTGCGAAGATACTGCAACTTGAAAGGCGCTCAACTTCTCAACATGCTGGACCGGTTTGGCATCGCGAAGGCTTTGTTTGCTTTGTTAATAAGATGTCCGCGTACACAATGGATGATCCTGAGAATGTCTTCAGTACGCTTCCCGGGTACTGCAACGGAAGGCTGGCTGCCATCCAGGCAAAGAGCCACAGCTTTGCTTGGCAAGCTTCCTTCGGTCATGCCTCAGAAGCTACCAAAGCCTGTTGCTGCTCAGCTTCCTCCGCCGTCTCGCTTGGTGCATCAGATACTGATGGTGAGCTGCTGGGGCCGCTCGGGTCAGATGATGCTACATAGCCTTCCCGTCCCAACCCAAGGAGCTGCATTAGGCTGCGACAGAAGTCATCGCCCATCAGCTCAAGCTGCACATCTGCTGCGCTCACATCATGGGCTTGACTGTACGCATCAAGTATAATAGTGGTGAAGAAATTCAGGCCAATGATGGACATGAACAAACCTGACCGGCGTTGCAGATGCACGCAAAGGTCAAGCTACACAGCTCTACTAGCTTCATCGATTCCAACATCCGCCGAACTAGCTCTTACTCCTGAACCGATGCAAGAAGCAATAGAGGGCCAGCGCAAATGCAACCTGAAATGAGTGGGAATCCTGGAACGGGCGTACATTATCAAACACGGAAATGGGCATGCCGCAGGTGAGGAAGAACAGTTCCGAACAGGAACGGGCCGGCGAAGCAAACTGAACGTAGCGGGGCCCGAATGCCACGAACATAAAGATACCAGCGCCGCAAAGCAAAAGGCCATATGCCAGCAGAAAAGAGACCAGCCGTGCTGCACAAAGTAAAATGGCGCTCGGCAGCCAACGAAATCGATCAACCAAGGAGAGCGAAGCAAAAATGATAGTAACGTAAAGGAGGATCCAGGCTGTGCCATGACAGAAATCATCATCTAGGAGAACAACGTATGAGTCTTCAATTGCCCGCTCCAATACAGAATGATGGCTGCAATCTTGTATTTCGCAATGGTCCCCACCATTGAAGATGCTTCGGATAATGCCTGCAAGCATGAAGATGCCCACAATGACTTCCATGGTAGCTTCAAAGTGGTTGACATAGTGCAAACGCGACGGTCTGCCTACGACGCATTGACTGAGATACTCCTTGAAAACATGCCTGGGTTTTTGGGATATCTCAAAAGTCTAACTCTGAGGCCGTAGTGTGAAGCAACGGTACAACTTTCAGAAAATGCTGCAACCATGAGCTTTCCCAGATGCAAGGGGATATGGCGCTGTGCATGTTGCTCATCTCCCTTGAGGATCAGTAATGCACAGACATTTCGCGGCAAAAAGAAGAGGAAAGATCCCAGTGCCTGCCCTATGAACCAAGCTAATGATACGATCACGCACGTCACCAGGAGCCCATCGAAGGCATAGCTTCCTGTCGGCGCCATCCTCTCCTCATGCAGCCACAAATGACTCCGGTACAAACCGCTTCCAACATTCATCGCACCGGCGATTCTAGCAAAGTCCATCTGAATAAGAAACCACTCAACAAATTTGTTAGACGGCTGGCGCAACATGGGAGGCATCTTCTGGAAGATTAAGAAAGTGACTTTCAGCCGAGACGGCTGGCACAGTTGCACCAAGCCCCAGTGATGATTTCGGCAGGTACTGCTGGGAATACCGGATTTGTCGAAGCAGGAGCATGGAAAAGCTTCCGGAAGCGGTGCGGTTGCATTCCTGTCTTGCGCTTCACTTGGACTTTGTCTTGTGCGGTGGCAGTAAAGATTGGGCATGACTTGGCCACCTTGAATCGTTCCGTGCCAATGATAGAAGGTACTCTTCAATGTGTTTCGATTTTGCGGTCCTACCAGAATCCACATCATCCGATTTAAATCAATCACAGCAGTGGAAGCTTGAAGAGGGACTTTAATGAGTTCCCGCCCGCCCGAGTGTTTGCCGTGGGGCAAGACTGAAAAGAGTCCGACACTACGTACCACGCAGGCTACAGAATGAAATATCGTATTGCCCGAGGTTCTGCTTGTACCAGCAACCTTGTGAAATTGCTCCGCAGTCGGTCGGACGCCTGGTTGTTGATGCAGGTATTTTCAGGCGAGCTTCAATGGCTGCAAGCCGTTGCCCCATGTCTGACAACGTATCTTGAAGTGGTGCAAACATTGGACTCAAAGAGTGCACCTCGTACTCATCGAACATGGGATCCACATTCAAGGACAGTGACGGAAGGGACTTCTCTCCCCAAGGCACGCAACGCGGGTCATCCCCCTGCACGATGTGATGAGCCAGGAAGTCTGCAGAACAGTTCATCTCAGGATCCCGAGGACCATCTTCCGACAGATCCACTTTCACATCCCTGATGTCGCACGTCCACAGAGAGGGAAGATGGTCATCCAAGCCATGTTTGAACCAGCAAAATGTCTGAAATGCATTCAAAGCCTTTGTCACATCGTCTGCCTGCATGGTGGCATCCCAGTTCGGAACTACTTCGCGCTCCGATAAACGCATTGCATTGCCTGAGTGCATCGCCCTATCTACACTCAGAAGCAGCAGCTACAGGATGCTTTTGACCGCCCTATGTGGGACCCAAGGTACATAGATAACAGCAAATCCTCAGAAGGGCCCAAACACTGTTTTGGTCGGGATAGAAGTTGTCGAGGATTTGTTGCCAGGAAGCGCTGGTGAACGTTCTGGAGCCATCGACTTCTTTCAGTGCTAACCCGTAGACAGCGGCAGTGAAGGCAAGTGCAGCCTGGACTGTCTTCTGCATAACATTATAGAGGCCCTAATCATGGAAATAAGCACGCCCAGCCAAGTAACAATATGCCAAGATCTCTTGCAAGCGCATATGCAGCACAGCCAGTGTTGCAAATTCTGCGCCATCGCTGCTGTGTGTGGCTCTTGACCAGGACTGAGGTTAGTGCCTTCAGCTCTGCCAAGAGCGCAACCCCCCCAAGCAGAAATGCTTCGGTTTTTGACGGAGTTATTGGGAAGGTAGCTATGGACGATAAAAGGCGACGGCAATTGCCTTGGCCTTGAGCTCCACATCCAAGACCCTGAAAGGAGGAAGGCTATCTAGGATCGAATCTCACATATGAGCCTGCAAAAGTATGATTATTTACGTGGCCCGAGCCATGGCGCCCGAAAGGCAGTGAGATGGAGATTCAGGGGTGGGCAGACTGCATGTCTGCTCCAAGGCTTTCACTGCATTGCAGCTAAGGCTATATAAGTCTTGCACATAGCCACCTGGATACCTGCCCTTTTTTGAATTTGGCAGACGGGAAGTACATATTAGTGCTTCAGTATGCTCCCGTGGCGGCTGCGCCACTGGTGCTGTCTTAGTCGAATGCTGAACTGACCTTAAAGGGCTCAAGTCCGTAATCAGCTACGACACTCCAACAGTCGCGTAAACGTGAGGATCTTGACAATGCATGCGTCTCTATTTGAGCGGGGGTCCTCCTGTCTTTTATTCCTCACCGACCTCCTGCAGGGCCGTAACCGCCAACCACCCCCAAACACCTCATCTGGAGCCAAAACCGTAACTACCCCTGAATCCAAACGCCTTGCAAGCATGCTGATTTGCAAACGTCCATTTGGGTAATGGTCCCCGTCAGGAGCATTTGTCTTGCATGTCTCTCAAATTCTCCAACTCTTGGAACCTTTGAATATGCGCGAACAGAGCATCACAACTTGAGGAAACAGGCACTCTGCTGGCTTTTGAGGTTGCCATAGGTCTGGCTGACTTGTGCTTGGAGCTAAACTTCATCTGGGAGGTACCGACTAGCCGAGGCAGGCAAAACGCCACCATGAGGCATGAGGGCCCACTTTCCATCAAAGAGGCTGTCGAAAGCCATTCGACCCAAAGCTTGTGAGTTGGCTTGGGTGACCGTCCGGCTGCCAATCCGAAAATCCAGGATCTCAAGGAAAATATGCCTGTCCAACTCCTCAAAATATTGCGTGACGCGTGGATTTTTGTCGAAATCCTTAAGACCACATTGATCATCTGAGCCGTCCCACTGGTCTATCCACAGCCGCTCTATCTTGATCTTGCGAATCTGGGATTGCACGGCAATGCGAATGGGACACATGCACTTGCCCTCAACGCGGATGTCTTTCAATGTCAGGCTTTCAATGCAGCACTCGTGAGCCTTCTCATCATCATGCTCAGAGATCAGATCCTAAGATTGTTATTGCAAAGAACAAAATAAGTTGACCTCTTCTTGAGCCGCATAACCGTATGCATACAGACATGGGGAGTTTGCCGAAATTGGAGAAACGGTTACATCCCCCAAAATGCAATGACTACTATATATCCTTTCATGGGAATGTCTGCAGAGGGATTCCTTTTTTGGAAACCAAACATGTCCCCAGAAGATTCAGAGCAGTTCTAAAGGCAGTTTGTGATCCGCAGCGCAGATGATGGCGCAGTTGTGTTCTCTGTAGCGAGAAAGGTCATGTATGACGTCCACCTCCTCTTTGAAAGCAGGCTCCAACATATGGGGCAGTTCCCTGAAATCATTCCACTCACAGTGCCCTGACGACACCCCAAACGTTTATAGCCATCTTTCCACTCAACTTATTCCTCAATGGGCGGGCGGGTGACAAATTTCAAAACGCATGCCGAAGAGGCAAGCTGCACGGAAAAAGCCTTGCGAATCTAGCTTCTCGACAACTGAATTGCATGCGGGGTGCTCCCACTGTGAAATTCTAAAAGGGGCCACTATTCGATTTAGTCAGCCGAGAGTGACCAAAAACCCAAGGGATCTCTGATAATGCCCCCAAGCCCCGGCTCCTCACAAGTGATTTGCGCAAGGTTGCGTGGCTTCCAGCCAAATTGGATGAGGCCTCCATTGCCTTGAAACCATGTTGTAATATTCCTCACCACAACCTGGAGTCTTGCTTGGACTTTGGTTTCGTTTGTCAATATCAACCAGGGGAAACATATGAATGCTACACTTGATGCCATGCGACGTGGCTCCAGTAGAGTTTGATGCAGTCATCCCCCGTCTGCAAGAAGGAATTCTGCACAACTGACCAGCTTGGAACCTTGAAGCAGTGACGCATTGAGCTTTCTGCCCTTGTGCGTATCGAGTACACGCTGCTAACCCTAACCACTGAAACAGCCAGCAACAATTGCATTGCCCCCGGATACCAATAACGTGCACAAACTACTAAACTATTTATAGCATTTGCGATTACATAGGCGCTACAAAATGGCTTCATTCCTCATCTCCCTACTAACAACCGGCAAGAAAGCTGCACTTCTGAGCTGTGTCTTGGTGGTACAGCCAAGTCAGATAATACATTATCCTTCTATGAAAAAACGTTATTTTCGAAGATGACCCTCCTGGTTTCTGGCATGAGAGCCACAGTTCAAAGACCGGCTTGGGAAGAAATCCCTCAATGTGTGTTCGAGCCTCGGGTCCGTCTGTCTGGTAATACCAGACCCCCACCAAGTGATAGTTGCTCCTTGGGGTATGGTTTGCTTAGGCAAAAACTGGAGACTTCAGCGGCTGCATGGAATCCTCAATAACGAAAAAGGTTCTCAACTTCAACCAGCGAAGGTACATTCTGACGGCAAACTTGGAGTCGGCCTGCACATCTGTGCACGACACACTTCACCCCAAAAGCACACCGGAGAGCTTCTGCTCAAGTGTTGGGGCGTATGACCTTTCGTGTAAGTTCAGCAGCATGACTTCCTCTAGATAGTTAGCTGCTAAGTGGCAGACACTCGTGTATTTTTGCGCTTGGGTTCCCACCTTGTCCAAGGCACCGTAAACTGTGAAGGTATGGAAGGGCGGGTTGGTCATGGTGATGCCATGCACCTCAAGCTCCTGGCAGAGCAGCAAAACTTTCTAATCTGCGCAGATTGTACGCTCTTCCCTGGCCTTTCAATTATTTTGCAAAATAGGCTCCTGGTTCATGCCCTCAGGCGAATAGAATTCCTGAGCTGCAGTTCTCGCCCTTCTTACCGGTTTTAGTTTTGGTCGTGTAAAATAAGTTGCCAAAGCGATCCCATGACCTCCTGATTTGCCTTCCTTCCGGGACTGATTCTGTCAGGTGTTGGGGGGGCGGGGTGGAGAACCAAAGTGAAAGAAAGACTGCCCCGTCCGGCACTGTCTGAAGCAAGCCTTTCTCTTGCCACAACGAATAAGTACAGGCAAAAAGCTGCAGCCAGTGAGCGCGGACAAAGTATTGCAGTTCGAACAAGTAAGCTAAATGCGTCACACCTGCCCTTAAGGTCTGGCGTCTAGATTTGTTTCAGACTTCTTCAGCGCAGTCAGAGAAGTACTGCCAGACAAGCTGCCAACATCTTCAGGCAGCGACCTTCGTATCCTCCGCCAGTTTGCTCAGCTGAGGGGTTTTCTCTTCCGTCTCGTGGGCACACCCCTTTTTTCCGTTTGCAGTCGCCAATGGACATCTTACACATGCTGGCCTCCAGTGCATCATCAGAAGAAGGGAATTCTGAGCTTAATTCTGCAGCCTTGCGCACAGCGACCTGCAGGTAAAGGCAAGCCAAAAAACCTCAGGTAAAGAAGAGAGAAGAAAGACGGCAAAGTTTAGGATCGCTTTAAAGACGACAAGCAAGTTTCTGCGCTCATCGAAGCCATGCGCAACCTGCAACTTAAGCACGGCGGTACCTGGCTGAAGAAGCAAAGTCGGCATTTCAATTTGAAAGCTTTTTGGGTTCCCTGAACTTGCCGCAAGGTTTGGCAGCTGCCTTAGTCTAGTGACCGCGCTCAGTCCTCCTGCTTGATCCTGTGGCCGCGTTTTGTACTCGTTCTCCTTGCAGCCAAGAAACATGCTTGGACTCGCTGTCAGCATCGCTGCTTGTTTCTACCCACTCTCGCACCAGAGCTAGAAACATGAAATGAAGTTCTGCCCATGTTCTGCTGGTCCTTGTCGCACTCATAGACATATTTCTCTCCAGACAAAGTCCCAGCTCCTTCAAGACCAGGACCCAGTGAACCGTCCGAGCGCCGCCTATTGACTGAGCCTCATCTACAATGCCTGTGATAATGGCCTTTACTCCAGACAATGGGTATAAAGACCATAATCATGGGCATTCGGGATCCCTCCGAATCTTCATGCTATTCCCTACCATCTCCCGGGAGGCCATCCTGTAATCAGCAGCTTCTTCGGCGTTTTCCCCTTCTCACCACGGAACCTTGTCTGAACGAAAACTTGAAGCTTCTGACGTCTACTGTGGCCCTCCTCTTAGTCGGATTTTCGAACCGAAAGCTGGATTTACATTAAACTTTCTAATGAAGCTCCCTTTGCAACAGTATGAGAGCAAGCCTGTAGCCCGCCACACACTGCTATGGCAGGAAGTGACCCAAGTTATGACGTGCGCAGACCACCGCTGCCTGACATCAGTAAACCTGATAGCTGGCTTTTACAGCTAGGCTCCTTTAGCTGCTCTGCTTGTGCAGGTCAGAAGCTGAAACGCGCCCTTGATGTAGGCTCCAGGTGCGAGGTAGACCCATTCGATCTCATTGTTCAGGTATGCATGGTAGTCGAAGGCCTTGCGCCGCGTTCCTAACGCTGACAGACCCAACCCCACAGCTCCCATTCACACCTCTGAATCCTGAAGCCCTCAGCAAGATTCATTGAAGACACTGCTCTCATGGTGGATACAAATAGCTATTGAACAAATCTTGGCTTCCACCACACAGTGCACTCCCCCAAAATCCATCAAAAGCCAGTCGATCAGGCGCCCTGCCATGGCATACACACCAGGCTGGAAGTAGATGATAGGCTTGCGGACTGAGTCGAGATTCAGAGAGTCCTTTAGGACATCAAGGCTTGCGTGCGTTTCTACACACCCTGAAGTTGGCAAATGTCCGCTGGTAGCATTCGGACATCCCCACAATCTGAAATTCGAGGGTCTGGCTGGTCGGTCCTTGTCAGGGTCCACGTAATACACTTTGGAGTCCAGCTCGGCAGCTGAGAGAACATCCTCTGGCCTATGGAAACAGCCCCTTCTTGGGAGTGGCTTTGCCTACCCTAAGCCCTAGGCAACATGCCTGGCTGGCTAGCTCAGATCTTTGGGGTACAAGTAAGCGGCTGCCGTCATCCAAGCTCTCAGATTGAGCGGAAACCCTTTGCAGTCAGTCACCTTCGCAAGGTCCCTCATTCACCACTAGGAGAGACACTTTGTGTACCTGGACTTTGAGCACACCGTAACACAAACGCCAGTCCTACATTACGATCCTGCAAGAGAACACAAGCCATCTGGCAGGTAACCCCCCTCTAAGGACCTGCGTGCCTGATCTGCTTTTCGACAGGCTCGGCGAATATGATCAAGCTGTTGCGCGGGACTTCAGCGATGTCTTTACCTTCGTACCTGAAGGTGAAGATCCTCGGCAGGCAAACACCACCGAAGCATCTAACATGCAGCTCTTGTGTGACTTCTATGCTATGCTACTTCTTGCCCCTTGTGCCTGTGAGCTGCCTTGACTACTAGGCAGCCTTGAGATCTTGAACGACCAAACAAGCAAAGTATCTCCCAGCCGAACTCAATGGAGAAGCGGAGACCGTCCGGGCTGTAGGGAATCTTGAACTTGACGGTGTTCCTCGATGGTGCTTCAGGTAGCCAATATCCGCTGCCAGCTGGTTTCCCAACACCTCTTGGACGAATCACAACCCGGCTGGCAATGTCGGGATGATCCACCGTACCCAAGACTGTCACTTCTACCCACACATCACTTCCATAAAGAAAGTGCGCCCATGTGCATGTGCATTCATTCCTGTCGAAGTCCTCGGCGCCATCCTCCTTGGAGTAGCCCCATTTTTGCCGCCCCATCCGGGGCCATGAGAAGTAGGGAAACGGCTTCCTTGGGAGTGCTATTGATCACATTGTAAGTTCCATACGTGCATGCGCTTCAGAATAGCATTGCAACAGAAAGCGAAATGTGTCCAAAGGCAGTGACCAGCTTCTGCTTTGGTTGGCTGTCAGACCTTGCACTCCACACAGAGACTTCAAAAATTGGTGAGCGGACAACGGTTCCGTCGTCTTTGAGCTCCTTCTTCTCTTGAGTGTTCTGGTCATGCCACCAAGTGATCAGATCGTCCTTAGCCGTTGAACCATTGCGGAGGACCCATGTGGTCATGGCCAGGATGCTAATATCGCCCCATACTGCTGAGATCTGCTGAGCCAGCTGAGCTACATGGGACCAGCAAAACATCGGACAGGGCAGGGAAAAACAGCAAATGCTTTCGATTCCGAAGGACATGAGCTCAGCTAAGGGGCTTGCCCAGATTGCAATGCTGTCAAAACTGAGTCAAAACTCAAAACTCTTAGACTTGTTTGGTTCAGGTTTCTTCTGAATCTCACTCTCTTGAATGGAACCTGGCAATGCCGACTTTCCTTGCACCATCCCATCCTGCCTAACAAGCCAACTCGACATTGCAACTGCGCACTTGGGCAACCGGACTTTCCGTGAGGGTCGGAAGACGAAAACATCTCAGAAACCTCAATGTCAAGCGGAAAGAAGAGGTTCTGCAACTTTGGCAGGCGCTTGCGGAGATGGCAGGCGAAGTTTGAAGAAAGAATGTGCAGACATGTACATCAAGAGGAAACGTCCACTGAACAAGTCTCAAAGCTACCGAATAACAAGGGCTGCTGAACCTCCTGAAGACATATGTTCCAACATCCCTTCCCCATTCCTGAATCTGTTCCCTGAGTAGCCACCAAATCTCACCTCACATGGACCCAAGAAGCATGAGCTAAGCCTGGCTACCAGTCACCCCAATATACTATAGTAGTTTCCATTTTCTTTTCCGGTATCCCTATATAATCCCATAAACCCTAATATAACCCCAATGTGCTTCACCTTGCATTTGAGTAATGACCAGTCTTAAGCTCCACTACCAGCCAATCCCTCGAGCATTGCGGAACCTCCATATTGACCCAAGCTACTCCCAACCTTTGCAATAAGGACTTTGCGGTTAAACCGAAGGAGCCAAATTTTTGCCAGGCTGCTCCAAGGTCGATGATGACAACGAAGGGCTCAGAAGTCTCGGACTGGGCGCAGCTAGGAGAGCAGCGGAGCCATGACACGACAATGGGGTTTTCTGGGGATAACGGACAAGAAAATGGAAACTACTATCTTATAGGGGTTATATAGGGATTATGTAACTCTATCAGGCGGTATTTGCTCCTTTCTGCAAACCTGTAATGCACGAGACTGGCTGGAGCCTTTAGACGGGTCCGTGCATGGCGTTTAGAACATGAACACGATGTCTCAGAGTACCCGGACAGGAGCCTCCTCGAACACGCAGAACTACAAATGCCAGTCAGTTAATTGCAAATGCCCCTGCGAATCATTGCTGAAAATACACTCGCAACATGGTCTTTAAACAGCTCGCATGATCAAACAGGGTCTTTGTAGTCTTTGCGTTGGACCGAAGTAGCTCGGAGAGCGGACCAGTCTTGCAGCAGCCAAACCCAGAAACAAATCCACATCCATGAACAACAAAGGAACTGCTCAGGAGCATGGGAGGTGCTGGTTCAAGCTTGTCAAGGTCCGGGCCCCCTTCACAAGCATCACGTTCTCATCCTTCAGATCCTGGCCGCGCGCGACCCTTGCAGCTGCTTTCGTGACAAGTCCGGCTGAGCTCAGGAGCATGACAATCTGCACCAGCGTCTGGCTGTTCCGGTTCCTTGTGGATGATGCGCATTCCATGGCAGTACGCCATGGCCTGGCGCGGGTTTAGTTCTCCAGTCAGATTCATGCGAGGCTACACTTCTCAAGCACCTGGCTTCGCTTGAAAGCTTCTGGACATTTAAGCCTGCATAGGAGACCTGGCACCGATACTTCCTCTAAGATATGCATAATGTTGCACGTATTTTGGAGCAGAGACCCTCTGAATGTGTTTCGCGTCCGCTTACAGAGTTTCATTATCAGAAGAACCTCTTTTATCTGCTGCAGTTTTGGGCTTCCTTTTTTTTTCCGATGTAGCTTGGTCACTGCTTCTCCAGCAGAATCAAGACCATTCCCTCGAAATCAATCTCCTGAGCCCTCGGACCCGACAAAGCCTTATTGAGGACGTCTGTCTTTGAATTGCTGGAGGCCGAAGTTTTGGGGGGTAGCCCTACACATCACACAGAATGCCACATCAATGCGTTGATGTCTGCAAAGCTGCTGGCACACAAGAACAAACACATCACCATCATCGTCACGGATGTCTTTGCGTCTTTTCCACTTCGGCGTGGCCATGGCGAATCGCAATACACTAGATACACTTGCAGCATCTGTACGCCATCCTGATTAGCACTGTGCAGGGGGCTTGGCGTTTAAGAGGAACCATGGATCTCCATTCTTATAACTGTTGCCGTTCACAAGCTTTCACCGTCGCATGTCAAAAGAGCTAGGCAAAAGTATCCAGTGTCATACCAATGTCTTCTTTGGGTATTGCGCATGTCATCAGTTGTGCCTCCTTTGGGTATCGCTCATGTCATCCATGGTGCCTCCTAGCGCCTCCCCAATGCACCCGCCCCCCTGTCCTTCGTTTCGTGTCCAGCCCAAAGTTCAGACCTCTGCCCCCCCCAGCTCCACGCACTGACACCCGGCTCCAAGCCCGAAGCACACAAAACGACTCTCGTTTGCCGCAGCGTCTCTGTGGTGCCAGTAGTTCTAGCAACATAGAAAGTTGCAAGAAAGAACGTAGTTGGGCTCGCAGCGATTACAACTACCTTTGACGGGAAAATGCGAGGTGCCATACTGTAGGTCCATCTAATGGTGGCTTATGCTGATGACCATTACATTTTCGTTCCTTAACGGCCTATATAACCGCAGCTTTCATTTGATGATTCTCCAATATTACGTAGTTCATGACTCTAAAAAAAAGAAATATACGTATATGTTGTCAGTATGGCCCTATTTGTTTGACTTGCTAAGCCCGGAACCTCAACTCCCAAACCCTAAATTCCAGACCCTAAACCGTGAACCCTAACCCTGAATTCCCAGACCTAAACCGAAACATTGAATCCTTGCAACATGAATCCCAAGCCCTGAACCCCTAACTCCACATAAACCCTGAATCCCAAACCCTACACCGCAAGTATGAAACGCTAAGTTACAAACCTAAACCCCGTGTCAGCCCAGGACTGAGATGGAACTCCACAGGAAAGGAAGCTTGCAGATGTTCTTTACATACACCTTTCTGCATCCAGCCTGCTGCGACTCTGCAGGGAAGTAACCAGGGGCCCAGCTCCCTTGCGGGAGCACCCAAACCCTAAACCCTAAATCGTAAACCCTAAATCCCGAATCCCAAACCCCAAATCGTAAACCTAAATCCCGAATCCAAAACCCAAAATACATCCTAAACCCAAAATCCTAAACCCTAATCCATGTGTCTCGCAGCCTGCCTGCAGTGTCTGCTTTATCACAGCGCGACTCCAGGTTTCCTCGACTGCGTCCCTGGGCTTCAAAGAGCTCACAGTTCAATCGGGCATTTGACAATAATGACAACAGTGAACAGTAATGTAGATGATGATGATGATGATGAGGAGGAGGAGGAGGAGGGAGGAGGAGGACATAATCACAGTAAGTTGTAGTTCTGGCCTTGGGGGCGGCTTTATCAACTAAAAACACGTCTTCTCGGGGAAGTTCTGCGGCGAGGCTGTCTGCAAGCACTTGCCTACTACGAAAAATCTACTGGCAATAGCAACAACAACGACAACAACGACAACAGCAGGAAGTCGACTTCTGGATGCCTAAACTTGTCCCACGCATGATCCAGATGTTCCCTCTCGATACTCAGAGCTCCAGCCTACGCCGAGCCCTACACCCATCTGCTTGGAAGCGGAGCAAGACTTCACGAAGCGTCCCACCCTGCTTTCTGGGCAGTTGTGTGCCGACCGCCAACCAGAATCTATGCCAAGATATGCCAAGTTAATGGAGGCTTGGCTGGCTTCATCTTACTTTGCTTGATCATGCCAAGCTCCTGATCAAGGTCAACAGCCATGATGATACAAGGATCCGGCAGCAAGAGCTTGTTATAGCTTGTTTGGTTGAGAGCCCAAGGAAGCAAAGAAGTGAGCAAAGAACGGCCTTAATGGCATCCATGACCAAGTAGATCTTGGAGGACCTTGGCACGAGTGTGGCAAACGAGTCCACGGTTCGTGTGACTATTCATAAGCAAGCAAGCAAGCAGGCAAGCAAAGTCATCAATCCGACGTAGTGCGCGCAGATTGCGTAAGAGCAAAAGCATGGTCAGTCAGGCTGCGGAAAGGTTTCGGGCTTGCCTTGCTCGCGGTGTGAAGGTCTCCAGAAAACTGAACATGCTGAATCACAGATGCTGCGCTACTCTTTGCTCGAAAAAGCTACATTCAAGGCTCCCACCCCTCATACCACTCGTGCAGCCGGATGATGTGAGGGTGGTCCACCCTTAGGACAGGCTCGACAGGCTAGCGGCATGGGCTTCTGCAATGGAAGCTGACATAGGCTATCGGCTAGCTGCCACCACTAGCAAATGATGGCAACCCCATGAGACACGGAAGTGATAGTACCAGCAAACCTCATGGAGGATGGCAGTTGCTGTTGACAATAAGATATTCACAGCAGCCACCTGGCAAGGGTGCCGGCTCAGGGCAATGGGCTCTTTTTCTGTTGCGTTCGGGCCGAGCAACCCGCACTCTGGGTGTCCTGCTGGTGAATTCTGGGCCATGGGGTCTATTTACCCCTGACATTGCCGGATCCACGTGAAACGGGCCTACCTTGCCGCATCGTTCACAACATACGTTTTGAAAGCGACTGCCCCATGCGCGTCACCAGCAACATGTGGCCACTCTGCAGGGAGCAAAATCTTAAGCCTCTGAAACTATAGTATCAAGCGGGCATGCGTAAGGACGATATTCGCCTTCGAAACCTTCAGCAGACCTTGCTTCTCCCTGCAAATTGGCTCCGAGCTCTCTTTCAGTGCATCAGCCCGACCTTAATTCAGGCTTGCTTAGCTTCGACCGTCCTTCAAAGAGGAACGAAACTTACCTACTTTAAAGCGCTTATGGGCTTGCAGATCAGGTGGCATGTCTGCAATGCTGCCCCGGCTAGATCTTGTCTGCAGGATGCATTGCAAGATGCAAGATCATGCAATCAAGATAAACCTGTAGTGAGAAGCAACTTCAGGGTTTCTTGCCGATCTAGCCACCTCTTGCAGACAAGTCGTGGCGTCTGAAACTGAGCTTGTGGCTTGAAGCAAAGGATGGCGACCTTCCCAGGTTTTATGAGAAAGTTTATTTTTGCAGCAGCTTACTACCTAATGTTTCAGGCCTAAGCGGAGGAGTGAATCCTGGAAATCAGTCTCTCATATGCTCCCTCGCCCATCCCGCTTTGAACAAATTCAAGATTTCAATGCCAAGTGTATACTCCTCCAGGCAAGAAATCTGCTGGCTCAAACTCACTGATGCCTGGTACTTACGCTTCTTGGGTGAAGACAAGTGGGATGAAAAGAAGCTCTCAAGTAATGAGTGGCTTCTGGTACTGTACTGTCGAAATGGTTGCTGTAGCTGCCCGGCAAGCGACAGCAGTTGTGTAACTCAGCCATGAGTCTGCCTCTGTTCTTCTCTCAACGTGTTCGCATGCAGCATTTTCAGTCTCAAACATCTCTGCCTGGCCGAGGTAGAAGTAAATGAAATGCTTCGTCTCATGCGTGACGTAGGAACCGAAGTTTCGGCCAACGACACAATGCCAGGTAGGGTTGTACTTCCTCACATGAAGCAAGCAGCGTCACCCAGGCATCCTCAAATTCCGCACTGCGCAGGCCCAAGCAGGAAGACAATGCGGACAAGGCTCTTGTCGAACTCCTTCTTGATGAATGCAGCGATGTCTTTCTCAATATTGTACCTCGATGTACCAAGCTTTAACTCACACGTCCTTCGGCTTTGGCCGCTATCTTGGAAACACGAACTCAACGTACCAGCAGAGCCGCTTCGCAAGTGTTTACGCTTCGCTGATGCAGAAAGAGAGAGGTTTCTATTGCAAAGCTGCTTCCAGGCTAGGAGATTTGCAATCCCACTTGCGCAGCAGTTCCTGCGACCTAGAAAGATTGACAAAACTACAATCTTCCAGTCCGTCACATTCTGTCAGAGTCTTTTTGCCAGGGGACTTCTCCAGAGCCTGCGTGGCACAGTCAATGGCATCCTGCTGCATGTCCTGCTCCAGTGCGCGAATGCTCAGAGGTGCTCTAGCACGGTGTTGCAACTAGAAGCTTGTGGCTACATGTCCAGGTTTGCCGAAATAGGCGACCCCCAACATATACTCTCTACTATGCGGAACCCCCGAAGGGGCCCCCAATTTCCTGAAACCCTCAAGTGAAGCTCATGACGTCCTCGGCCATGTCGGCATTCTTGATCACAGCCTGCAAAGCAGAGGGCAGCCCATGAGCGCAACTGCCGTGTCACAAGACTTGTCTCACTTTGACATGCAATAATTCCAAGAGACAAGCATTGAGAGGCTTTGGGGCTCAAAGCTCCAGACCAGCCGAAAGAAGATAGCCTACACTACACTCTGCCTCTTAGATTAGGACTAGGAAGCAACCAGCAAGCTGGCTCGGGAAGGGCCATGTAGACAGATTGGGTGGTTTTAGCTCAGCTATTTGAAGTTCTGGATCGCAACCAGCTGTGGCTGATCTCATCTAGGAAGCCCTCGCGAAACTGCGGCGAAACCCGAAGCAAACAAAAGGGTCAAACTACTTCCCACATCCTATTGCTTCAGCTAATCTCTGTCCCCATCCTACTCCAACAATTGCTATGGACTGGGCAGGTTACACTCAAAGCGGACGTTAGCAGGCGACACAAGGACTCCAAGGCATCTCTGTGAGCCCACTTGATGTCACAGTCTTGCTGGAGGAGGCTTCCTGAAGTGCTTTCCCTGGCACATGAAGCCATCCCGACTCGGCCTTGCGGTCTGCCATGGTGAAAAGGAAAGCAAGGCCGAGAAAGATCCAACTTGCGAAGCGCGCTAGAGCCCAAGAAGCTGCGGCCCTGGACACTTCAACGCAGGGATGGGAACCTTTCGGCGCTGTGCCTGTTGCCTTCGTTGCAAACGGGCAGTTATGACGAACTGACCTGGCAGTTCAGATGCCGACTGTCGGAGGACCATGATCTCCTTCTCGATGTCTTCTACTGGCAGCTTGGCCTTTCCAATTGCTCCCGCGGAAGCTGAATTTCATGGGGGGTTCCCCCCTGCCATCCCCAGACGGTTCCGAAATAGGATCAAACGAAGAACCACAGCAAGCTACTGACTCACATGGGCGCTCAAGCTACAGAGAGCGCCCACACAAAAGCTTGATTGGAAGCCTGCGATTTCTCCACGACCTTGATGACACGCTCCTGGGTGATGCAGCAGGCATTCAGAAGAGGCTGCAACAGCGTAAGATGTGTCCTAAACAGCTCGTGAACTCTGCTTCCAACAAAAGCCCAATGCTAGGATAAGCGCATCAGATGACTGCCCGGCAGGCAATAGCTCGACAAGAGGACAACACGGCAATACGCAGACAAGCTGGCCCTCCACTTTGGCTCGCTCAGGGAATTCACGCAGTGGATTGCAGTGCCGCAGTGCAGGTTGCATATTGTGTGCCCTTTTTGGAAGGAGCTCCATCCCTAGCACGTGCCTCTTTGGTCCTCTTGTGCTTCCCAAGATGTGCAGAGCCTTGGGAAAAGGGCAAGCGCCGAGCGCTCCAAATCTGGGTGCTGGTGCCACGAACCCACGAACTGCATCAATTCCACCTGTGCCTGTTTTCTCCGCGGTGCGGCAAAAAAGGTGCCTCCACACATCCCTGTTACGAAGAATCGGCCCAATCACGTCTCCCTGTGCACAGCATGATTGCCGAGAGGTCCGCCAAAGGAGCCTTCTCCAAGCGTCTTCACCTCAGTTTGTGCAAAACTCATAGCTGCTTATGTCGGGCTTTCCCCAGACAGGGGGCCCCTTAATGTATACCCAGCAACCTCACAAGCCATCTCCAATTCTTGATAAGTTTCCAAGCATTTTAAAGTGGCCATGCCCCTGCAGTGCTGCAGATGCTGCAGATCTTCTGTCTGCCCCCCCAGCGTCCCCAAAACGGAGCTGAGCAAATGGAGCTAAAGCTGGGCGCGTGGCTCGATGATAGACATCCCACACCTTCGTCGGCCCAAAGTCCATGCTTGCGACAATCAAGTGTCCCTATAAGACTTTTCGGTGTAAAAGCCTAACGCCATACTAAGACCACTACATCCCCGTCTTGAAGATGAAGGCATGCCCACGAACCTCTAGCTCTAGTCCTGCTCTTATGGCTGGGCCTGAATCAACTAGAACAATATCTTGAATCAGCAGCCACTTTCCCTTCCTCGATGTGGCCTTCCCGGGCTCCTGCGTCACGAAGACCTCGCGGCCGAGGAGGACGGACCTGAGACAACACCCTGCACAGTTGTGGCTTGGTGTTGATGGTGCAGTTGAGGGGTCATGTCCCCTGCTGCAAGGATGACACGCAGAATCCGAGAAGTGTACTTGTATGTGGCTGCCCGTATGGTGGCTCAAGTGTCTGGACGACGCACACAACGAGAATTGCTGTGAAGATGCTGTGTGTTCAGGGATGGCTGGAGCCTTGGGACCGCAATATTCTTTCACAAGATGCCTAGCAAGACAAGTCCTCAGTACTCAATTAATGGGTTTTTGCTTGTGCTAGGAACGCTTACCGCACAGGGTGTGGGGTTCAAGCATAGCAGTATAGCTTTGAGTAGAAGTCCAAAACGCAAAATAGCGAAAGGCAAAAAGCCTGTGGAAGCCACAGCAATGCAGAAGCAAGCGCTGCACGAAGTGGGGATGCTTCTGCAGAAAGGAATGCAATGAGCTCAAGCCAGCACTGCCCCTTCTGCAATCAGCTTCGGGTCCTGCTTAAGGAGGAGTGCGGGAATAGGGGGCTTTACAGGCATCGGGCCTAACAGTGCACCAGGTAGGAGAATGACCAGGTAATGCATGATTTATTTCAAACCTTCGGAAGGCCGCGCCTGTCAAACGCCACTCGGCGGAGAGATGTTACCTCGACAGATAGGTAGTCGAAACGTGATTCTTTTTTGCTGACTTTCTGCATGTCTCTGCTCTATGGATAACTTTTTGCGCTTCTGATGGCAGCGCGTCTTGCGCGCGAAACGAGACATTTCGAGCCGAGTTCAGTACAAACAGCTCGAAGAATTCCTCGAAGCTGAGGTCCCCGTCTCCGTTGAAGTCATAGCCTGAGGCGGCTGAGACATGTTGAGACTAGTTCCTCTAGGTGGTTGCACCAGGAAGTCTAGCACGAGTACATTCCAACATCCTAGTGTTCTATCATGTGTCCTTCGCTAACGTGGTTCTTGTGTGCCCAAACTTCCTTGTGGTGAAAGCTTGGCTCTAGCATTGATTCATTGCCCGCTGACACATACGCCAAACCCTGAAAAGGGCGTGCTGCCAATAAAGGGGCCCTGACTGAGGGGCATAATGCTTTTGATGGGCTACGGCTCCATGAAGATGCTGAGGATGCTGACGGCCTACCCCAGCAGTAATGCTTGATGGGCTTGAAATGTGACGCTACTATTACTGAATCAAAGCATAACTACAGAGGCTATCTGTCTGCGACCCTCCCTTGCCGTTTATTATATGTCGTAACAGCAGCAAACCAGTGTAGTACTAAACCTGGTACTAACCACGAACAAATTGGCAATAAAATCAATAGCGATAGGAAGTTGAGGCCTGAAACTGTTCAAGAGACCTGCACTTTGGTCCTGTCACTGCCAAGCAGCGTTTGAAGAGCTGTTCAGCCTGACAGCAAGATAGGGTGGCCATACGCTTGTGTTGGTCTGCAGGGAATGAAGGAATAGAAGCAAAACATGGGAACTGTTTTAGGGACCACTATAGTTCCCCTTAAGTAGATAGAACATGGCTTTGGGCATATTATGATAAGATCCCCATATACCCCATATTCTATATACTTAAGGGGGACTATAGGAATTAATGGCAACTACTCTAGGGATCTGCTCGTGCTTAAGGGCGAGTGGGCGAATGCTTGCATTAGTGCAGCTGATGGTCCGTGCCGGAGGCATGACAAATTTTCTCAAACTTATTGGCCCGGGCATTGATCATCAGATGCTAGCAGTCTTGAGGTTATTGTCTTTGCCCACGCCCCTCTCAGGCACGGTGCCACCTCTTGCCCTTTCCCAGAGCTTACTCAGTCATGGTATCACTATGAGATCTTGTTGCGAACTGCCCAAGGACACACTGCCCTTCCCGCACCGGCGCATCGCTGAGTGTGAGGCCATAGGCGCAGCTGGCAGCGGTAGGCCAAGGTGTTTGTTTAAGGCCTTGGCAGTGGTGAGTTGGGCGTGGACTGGGACTAAGTTTAATCCTGGCATGTTCTGCTGCAGGTCCCTGTGGAGCCAGGTTACGTGGTTCTGACATGCTCTTTGCGTACGTGTGTTCAATTGCCCTGGTTGACGTGTGAACCCAAGGCGCTTCAGGACGACAGTACAAGGCATGGGGGGTCCTGTCTTACCTGGCTGCATTGGGCAAAGACACTCTTTACTCGCTTTGCTCTAGATTGCACTACTGTGGCTTTGTGGCTCTGCTCAATCAGGGTGTCCCATGCAAACGAGCCTGGTCTTGCTTTCTCAGGTATTGTTTTGCAAAAGAGTCGCTTGGCACAGGCCTGCTTTACGCATTGGGCAGGGCCTAGCGCAATTGTATTTCAAGAGCCGTGCCCGAGTCCTCAGGGTTTCTGGCTGTGCCTCTGGCCTTGTCGAGCTAAAGCTGCAAAATCTAAGGCAATGATAATGTTGACCTCATATTAATGAACCTCCCCGTAACTTCAAAATCCAAATCCCAGAACGTAATTGCAAACCCCCCGTAATTGCAAAATCCAACCTGCCAAAACGCAAAAATTCGCGTACTTCTACTACTGGCCAGTACTACTATTGGCTACAACGACTAGAGTTCCAGCTCACGGTCCCGGATACCTGGAAATTACGGAGCTCGGGTTCACATCCTCGGGGGGGTGGGGGGGGAGAGGGGGGTTTCTTATTATGAGGTTAACATTAACATGCAGCTACTGACAGATATCGTGTTCTGCTGCAGCAGCTGCTCTTTCTGCTGACCAAGGGGTAGAACACCATATACTTGGCTTCCACTTAGCTTTCGCAGCCTGGTGGCTCGCAGTACGTGGCGCAATTCTCGAAAACCGAGGCGTCCCTTGCGGTCACTGAGCTGGGCGTTGTAGTACCTGGGAGCAGGACGAGGACATAGGCACACTTGCATGTTCTCAGAAGCATGGTGACAGACAGGTATCCAATTTTTTTTGGCAAGTCCCTAGCCACCTGCTCTACAGTTTGCCAACCTCATGA